ATAGCCCTCAGCATCACGTGCCCTTGGTGGTTCCCAGTTGCACTCTGGGCAAAGCCTGGGGTCCCTTAGCCTCCCAGGGGGTCCCGTCTCTTCCCATAGCTCCCCTCTAGCTCTTCTCTTGCTCGGTTTCACAGTCTGTCTCCATCCCTGGGCTCTGGGCAGTACCCTCGCTGTCTCTGGCTGTTTGTGGGAGGTGAGGTGGCCTGGGAGAGCGCCCCCCGTCCCCTCTGCCGCCTCCTGCCTCAGAACCATGTATGTGCTTGGTCTTCCAGCCTGCCAACCCGGGGGCTTCCCAAAGCAGGGCTGATACAGGCTTTGACTTCGTGTCGCGCTTGCTGGGCCGCCACTTCCGGGCTGGTCCCCGGCATTGTGTGGGTGTGGCGGTGTTCCGCGCACTGCTTTCCTGGAGCTTCATGGGTGTGCTGTGTGATGCCAGGTGCTGCCACGTGTTCTCTCTCTGTCTTCACGGGAACCCCAGGATTCCCATGACAAAGTCCCACTTTCACCGAGAAGGAAACGGGGACTTAGTGGAATCGTCCCTTTGTTCGTAGGCAGATTCTGTCCACAGGGGTATTTAGTGGGCACCCGCCGTGTGACAGGCCGTGCCGTGCTTCAGGACCTGGGAGGGGGAAGTGAGATGTTGTACATCAGGAAGTGGACGCTGAGACATGTGGATTTAGGGGCCGATTAGGGAGTCTTCGTGGGGTCGTCCCCAGTAAGCAGAGGAAATGAGGTTGAGCTGCAACACAGGCAACCTGAGTAGGGACTTGGCCGGCCCCACCGGGGGCTTGGAAGCCGGGGCGCCCCTCCCGGGCTGTCTGGGGTGAACAGAGAGGGCGGCCCAGATGCTGCACTGCAGCAGCCTGTGGGGCTGGATCTGAAGTCAGGAGCTCATGGGAGCTGGGCCAGGGCCCGGAAGTCAGGGTCTTCTCAGCAGAAGTGCATCCTGGGAGGTCCCCATCCCATCTGGATCCCTGCCCTGTACACGGTGGCTACAAGGGTGCCCGTTGCATTGTTGTTCGAAATGACTGGGGACGGAGGCGGACATGTCCACCCCTGGAGCTGCTGATGAGGACGGGCCTGGCATGCGGAGGCCCCAGCCGTGCAGAAGTGGGCTGCCGTGGGAAGGACGTCTCGGCTCCCTTGTGGAGGGAAAGAGCCAGATGTGTGTCAGTCCATGCTTCCATTTGTGTCCGGGGAACCTGTGTGTCAGTCCCTGCTTCCATGTGTGTCCGGGGAACCTGTGTGTCAGTCCCTGCTTCCATTCGTGTCCGGGGAACAGTGCGTCAGTCCCTGCTTCCATTCGTGTCCAGGGGACCTGTGCATCAGTCCCTGCTTCCATTCGTGTCCGGGGGACCTGTGCATCAGTCCCTGCTTCCATTCGTGTCCGGGGGACCTGTGCATCAGTCCCTGCTTCCATTCGTGTCCAGGGAGCTGTGTGTCAGTCCCTGCTTCCATTCGTGTCCGGGGGACCTGTGTGTCAGTCCCTGCTTCCATTCGTGTCCGGGGAGCTGTGTGTCAGTCCCTGCTTCCATTCGTGTCCGGGGAGCTGTGCGTCAGTCCCTGCTTCCATGTGTGTCCGGGGAGCTGTGTGTCAGTCCCTGCTTCCATTCGTGTCCAGGGGACCTGTGTGTCAGTCCCTGCTTCCATGTGTGTCCGGGGACCTGTGTGTCAGTCCCTGCTTCCATTCGTGTCCAGGGGAGCTGTGTGTCAGTCCCTGCTTCCATTCGTGTCCAGGGGACCTGTGTGTCAGTCCCTGCTTCCATGTGTGTCCGGGGACCTGTGTGTCAGTCCCTGCTTCCATTCGTGTCCAGGGGAGCTGTGTGTCAGTCCCTGCTTCCATTCGTGTCCAGGGGAGCTGTGTGTCAGTCCCTGCTTCCATTCGTGTCCGGGGGACCTGTGTGTCAGTCCCTGCTTCCATTCGTGTCCGGGGAGCTGTGCGTCAGTCCCTGCTTCCATTCATGTCCAGGGGAGCTGTGTGTCAGTCCCTGCTTCCATTCGTGTCCAGGTGAGCTGTGTGTCAGTCCCTGCTTCCATGTGTGTCCGGGGGACCTGTGCGTCAGTCCCTGCTTCCATTCGTGTCCAGGTGAGCTGTGCGTCAGTCCCTGCTTCCATTCGTGTCCGGGGGACCTGTGCGTCAGTCCCTGCTTCCATTTGTGTCCGGGAACCTGTGTGTCAGTCCCTGCTTCCATTCGTGTCCAGGGGAGCTGTGTGTCAGTCCCTGCTTCCATTCGTGTCCAGGGGACCTGTGTGTCAGTCCCTGCTTCCATTCGTGTCCGGGGACCTGTGTGTCAGTCCCTGCTTCCATTCGTGTCCGGGGACCTGTGTGTCAGTCCCTGCTTCCATTCGTGTCCGGGGACCTGTGCATCAGTCCCTGCTTCCATTCGTGTCCGGGGAGCTGTGCGTCAGTCCCTGCTTCCATTCGTGTCCGGGGACCTGTGCATCAGTCCCTGCTTCCATTCGTGTCCGGGGGACCTGTGCGTCAGTCCCTGCTTCCATTCGTGTCCGGGGACCTGTGCATCAGTCCCTGCTTCCATTCGTGTCCGGGGAGCTGTGTGTCAGTCCCTGCTCCCATTCGTGTCCGGGGACCTGTGCGTCAGTCCCTGCTTCCATTCGTGTCCGGGGGACCTGTGTGTCAGTCCCTGCTTCCATCCGTGTCCGGGGAGCTGTGTGTCAGTCCCTGCTTCCATTCGTGTCCGGGGAGCTGTGCGTCAGTCCCTGCTTCCATTTGTGTCCGGGGAGCTGTGCGTCAGTCCCTGCTTCCATTCGTGTCCGGGGAGCTGTGCGTCGCTGCAGAGACTGCTCCTGGGAGGGGTCAGAGGATACATTCCATCGTTGTCCTGGGGGCGTCCCAGAAGACGTTTCAAAACCCTCTCACTGGCTGGTTCCTTGTTCCTAAAGTGAGATCCGAGAAGTAAATGCGTGAGCGACAGGGCCTTGGGTGTCAGAGACGGTGGAGAAGCCAAGCACCGAGAGGAGGCAGTGGGTGGGTACCTGGGGGTCTGGGGCCATTGTCAGGGGAGGGACAGAAAGGAAACTGAGGCAGAGACAGAGTGCCCTCTTGAGAGGATCCTGGTGGGGAGGAGATGGGGAGAGCTGTGTCCCCCAGGCCGCACCACAGAGGTCACAGGACGCAGCTCGGGGCCTCCATGAGCTCTGCCCACTGAGCCCTGCCCAGGCTTCATGGCTGTCCAGGTTGGACTGGGCCACATTCGTCAGCAGTGGGAACAGAGGGGGCTCTCTCCATGGACCCTGACGCTGTGTGTGGAGAGATCTGAGTCTGTTCAGGCCGCTGTGATGACCAACGCTGGGGCTCCTAAGCCACAGGGGTGCTGGGCCGGCCCCGGCAAGGCACTGGCAGGTCTGGAGTCTGATGAGTCTGCATGGCTTCTCACCGAGGCCTCATACAAGGGAAGATAAGAAGGCGCTTGTCCCGGTCCCAGCCCCACCCTCATGACCCAGTCACCTCCGAAGCGCCCCCACCCCCTGACACCATCACCCCAGGAGAAGATTTCAGGGTGCGGATTTGGCCCGAGTCAGAAGCATTCAGACCACAGCAGAGAGCACTTTCCAGAATCATCGCCAAATGAAAGAACCGGGACTCCTGGACTCTCCAGGCTGAGTGCGTCCTGGAGGTAACTGGCTCAGTCACTGAGGTATGTCCGTCAGGGTCGTGTAAGTCACGAACCACACACCTCAGCCCCTCATGGGAAGTCTGCGTGCGTGCAGGAGACGCAAGGCACTGATAAGTCCTGCATCCGCAGACCCATCCGTCTCTGCCCACCCGGCTTGTCCCAGGTGCCCGTGGCCGCAGAAGTCTTTCTGACCTGCGGACCATTGTTACATGAGAAATGCTCTTGCAGTTTTAGTTTTTATTTCATAGATAAGTTACCTAAGGCTCAAAGGGAATGACTCTCCCAGGTCACATGACCGGGGTGACACAGCAGAGGTGGGCACCCTGAGCCCCCGCCTCACGCCTCCATGGGCTTCTACTGACTTGTGCTGCTCCTGTTCACTCACTGGGACAGACACGCTGTCCGTGTGCACCTGCAACCATGTCAGGACCCAGGCAGGAAAGAGCTGAGCCCAGGCAGGCCAGGGACCAGCACTGGAGCGGCAGACGGCGCTTAGAAGTCAAAGCAAGGGAGAAGGCATCAGTGTCACAGGCCCTGCAAGCCCGGTGCTGACTGCTGGGCCCTAGGCGGGAAGGTGGGCTTGCAGGAGGCAGGGGACACTGACTGTGGGCGGAGGGTGCGTCCTTGCCGTGGGCTCTTAGCTGGAACCGAGACGCCAGATGGTCATTTCTCAACCTGTGTTCTCAGGAGTGCCACTGTCATGCGAGGTTAATGAGCACCGAGCAGAAGGCCCTCACTCTGGTCACAGCCACTTAAGGCACACGGAGTTAAAGACAGATCGATCCTGGTGTGGGCACTGGGCACGGTGGCCGAGACGCTGCTTGGGACCTCTGCATCCCATATCAGCATCTGGTTCAGGTCCCAGCCACTCTGCTTCTAATCCGGCTTCCTGCTGATGCACACCTGGGGAGGCAGCAGAAAATGGCTCAGGCACTCGGGTCCCAGCCACCACGTGGGAGACCCAGATGGAGCTCCTCGCTCCTGGCTGTGGCCTGGCCTAGCACTAGCTTTTGCAGACATTTGGGGAGTAAAGCAGCACCTGATTGATCGATCTCTGTGTCTCCATCTTTCACCTAAAATGCAAATCAGGTTAAGAGCACAGAGGAGGACTGAGGGGGCTTCCCAGGCTTTCACGTGTGAGTGGCACCGTGAGAGGGTGGAGGAAGGGAAGTGGGGGTTCCCCCATGTGTGGGACCAGGGGTTTCCCAGGCCAGGAGCCTGTCTCTGTGGGTCTGCCTCACCGACTCAGGTTGCGGGACTCGGGTTCGGGGTTGTGTGGTTAATGCTGGCGGCTGCTCCTCCCACCCCAGCCCTGTCTCCCTCGCCCTTTCTCTCCCCGCTGATGTTTGTTCTTCCGTCTTCCAGAGCAAGGAAATTGGGCTGCAGATGCACGAGGAGCTCCTGAAGGTCACCAACGAGCTGTACACGGTATGTTCCGCTCGGCCTCACGCCGAGAACCCAGGCCCCCGTGCTGCGCCTTACACCAGGGTGACCGCCAGTGGGCCGCGTGGGCTGGAGCGACTCAACCAGCTGTCTCTCGAGGTGGGGCCCAGGCTGTAGGAGCTCGCGAGAGATTCTGTGAGCTGCCCGCGGTGGGGTGTGCTCCCCAGGCAAGGCAGCGAGCGTGGGCATGAGGCAAGAATGGGGTTTTGGAGTCAGGTGGCCCCGGCCCAGGCCAGGCCGCTCCTCACTGACTGTGAACCAGGCCTGCGACTCAGGTGGGACTGGGGAGCCTGTTTGCACACTGGAGCCCTGCTCCCAGGATCCAGGGCTGACGGAGTGGGCATGCCTTGGCCAGAGCTGACCTTGCAGCCTGGCTAGGGGGCGATCCACCCTGCAGGTGGAGGCCGCAGAGGCAGGCCTCAGGGAGCGCAGACACGCAGCTTCCCATGCCCGGACCCACAGCCTGGGCGCCCTGCAGCCATTGGCTTCCTTGGAGAGGATGTGGCAGCCCCTGACAGTGGAGGGTGCAGGGGGGTTAGACCCAGCGTGCAGAACCCCTGGCCCCTGCCCCTGATAGAACGGAGTAGAGCTGACCTCGGCTCTTCATGAAGCCTCTGGGAGAGGTCTGTGTCGGCGTATGTGCTGCTGCTGACTCTGTGTTGGGGAGCCGCTGGTCTGGGGGAGGGCTCTTTGGGGTTACTGCTTGCCTGTGGTCACATCCGGGGGCCAGCAGGGCTGCTCTTGGGCCTGAAAGCTTTGCTTGAGGGCCTGGGCCTCACCAGCTTTTCAGGACCTCAGTCTCCCACTCAGCGAAATGGGGGTGAGAGCTCCGTGTAGGAGGTGGGACTTGCAATTCTGAGCGGAACTTGAGCCCTGCCCTGCGGTCTGCGGTGGGGCAGCTCTGAGTGACAGCAGTGCACGGCCCAAGCAGATGCGCTGCTTCTCACCAGCCAGGCGGCGGCAGCAAAGAGCCCTGTGGCTTAGAGCACAGACCCTGAGGTCACAGATGTGGGTTCAGATCCAGCTGTTACACAAAAACATCTCCATCGTCCGTCAGGATGCCCCAGAGACTGGCCCCTGCACCCCCGGGGATACTGAGTCCCTCCTGTGAGATGGCCTGGTCTTTGCACAGGGCCAATGCACGTGCTCCCATGCGATTTCACTCGTTTCTGAGTGGCTCCCCATACCCAGCGTGGTGCGGACGCAGGGGAAATCCGGTCAGTCGTTGCTCCGTTGCGTGGGTTAGGGAATGATGATGAGGACGCCCCCGTTCGTGTCCTGCGCAGGGGCAGTTCTTACTTTTCTGACCGTTTTCTCTCGCAGATGCTTGGATGTGGGGAGGCGGAGCCTGAGGCCCACGGGCTGAGTCCGCCTCCTCTCTGCAGGCTCTCGTGAGCACGGCTGGGGGTCCCCTCCATAGAGGGTGTCCAAGTTTCTTAGCAGTGCTGGTGTCACCACTGCCGTCTGCCAGTTTCACGGCTGTGGGCTAGGCTGTGGTGCCCCTGCTCCTGGGCGGGGGCGGTGAGCCTGCAAGGCTGGCGACGTATGGGAGTTCCCCGCTCCTGTGCTGCCGGGAATCCCGCTTGTCCGGCTGTGGCCCAGCTGGCCCTGGGCCTGTCCTAGGAGCAGTCTCTCTCCTCCAGGGTGCTCCATCACCTGAGCTCCGGGACCTGGGACGAGGCTGGGGGCAGCCCTTGATGGGGGGATGGGAGCCACCTGCTCAGCCGGTCCTTCTGTTCTTGAGTAGCTGCCTTGAGTGTGGCCAGTTGGGACCAGGACCCACAGGGATGATGGGGAGGCAGGAAATCTGCCTTTTGGGAGGCTTCAGCGGCACGGGGTGGGAACCAGTGCTCTGGCTGCTCTAGTCTGGTCTGTGCTGCCGACACTGCCTGAGCCAGCCTGGGCGATTTTGGGGAAAAGGCTGACTTGGCTCATGACTCTGGGGTCTGGAAATCCAGGAGCCACATGCGGTACTTGGCGAGGGACTCCCTGCTGTGTCAGCCATGCTGGAGGTCAGGAGGCGAGAGAGGGCCCTGGTCGCTTTTTTTTTTTTTTTAAAGATTTATTTTTTTATTTGAAAGGCAGAGTTACAGAGAGAGAGGGAGAGAGAGTGTCCATCCACTGGTTTACTCCCCAGATAGCTACAGTGGTTAGGGCCGGGCTAGGCTAAGGTCAGGAGCTTCATCTGGGTCTCCCACATGGGTGCAGGAGCCCATGCTGGACCTTCTTGCACTGCTTTCCCAGGCACATTAGCAGGGAGCTGGCTGGGAAGTGAGCAGCCGGGACACTAACCGGTGCCTGTACGGAGTGCTGGCATCACAGGCGGTAGCTTAACCTGCTACACTGCCACGCTGGGACCCCAACTCCCTCTTGAAACAGATCCTCTCTTGAGATAGCTCCTCCACTCCTGTGACAGTGCCATTAATCCATGCACAAGGACGGAGCCCTCATGACGTCACTACCTATTCTTAGGCCCCACCTCCCAACACCTGTGCACTGGGGACTGAGGTCCCAGGATGCAAACTGCAAGTGCACGTTCAAACCGTAGCCCTGGGCGTGCTGACTCAGGTATAGCTGGATCCGGGGGCTCTCATGTTTGTGTCATTGCCTGCCTTGCCGATAGGGTGTGAACTTACTTACCTGTCTGTCGCACCATAGTAATTCTAGTGCCCCTAGTGTGGCATCTGGCACATAATAAACTACTTAATAAATACTCACCAGGGATGGACTATGAAGCTGCTGCTTGAGACACCTGCGCCGCCTAGCAGAGGGCCTGGTTCAAGTCCCAGCCATTCTGCTTCTGATCCAGCTTCCTGCTGATGCACACGCTGGGAGGCAGCAGGTGATGGCTCTGTCACCCACATGGGAGATCCGGGTGGAGTTCCGAGCTCTGGGCTTCAGCCTAGCCCAGGCCTGGCTGTGGTGGGCATTTGGGGGATAAACTGGAGGATGGGCAGGCTCTCTCCAGCTATCTCTCTTTCTGCATTGCTGATACAATGAAAATGAAAAAAATTTACTGTTCTGTCCCCACAGTATACTCGGTAGACCAAAGGCAACAGAACTGCGCCCCCATTTTATCCTGTTCCCCTCTTGTCCCCTTCATCTGTTTCTCTCTCTCCCTTTCCTCCCTCCCTCTGTCTTCCTTGCTTCTTTCCATCCACCCATTCCTCCATCATCCATCATCCCTCCCTCGCTCCATACACCCGGCATCCATCCACCTTTATGGGACAACCTCTCTCCTTTTGGCTTTGCCTGCCTCCGTGTGGGTGTTGTGGTCTGGCTTCCCCTTGTGGTGGTGCAGATGGCCCTTAGCACTGCAAGTCCCTCCCACAGGCACCCCCACACCCTGCAGGTGGAGAGCACCTCCTCCTCCCCAGAACCTCCAGTCGTGCCCAGGACTGTCCTCGGCCCACCTGGCTGGGGTCAGGAGCCCGAGTCACTCAGCTCAGACGGACAGAGCGCTGGCGGATGAGCCAGGCCTGGATCACGCCCACGGCAGCCTTGGAGGCTGGTGGCAGTTTCCCATGAACCACTGGGCTGAGAACAGTGGAGGGGAATTTTGGGGATTTCCTTTGAGAAACTCAGGAAACAGTTCCCAAAGAAGGACAGGGTGATCCTGGGCAGAGAGCAAGAGCGGATATCCCCAGGGGGTAGGGGGCAGCTGGGGCGGAAGTGGCTGGAGTAAGCACCTGACGCCTCTGTTCTCTGCCGGAGCTCCCCGGGGATTCGTGCTCTCCCTGCTCCCTTTGTCTGGGACTCTCCACTGCCACCCAAAGCCCTGTGACCCTGCTGACAGTGGCTTTTCCTTCAAGGTTGCTTTAGATGTCACTTCCTCCAGGAAGCCTTCCCGCAGTGCCCCTTGCCCCCTTACTTACACCACTTATACAGCCTCATGTGATGATCCCTCGTGCTGTTGTCTGTGTTCCTATTGCAAAGAGTGTTTTATGAGAATGGTCTTGCACCCCCTGGCGTGGAAGCCACTACAGGGCTGGACACAGTGAATTGCTCATTAAATGTTTAATGATTGGTCCGACGCTGTGGCTCAGCAGGTTAATTTTCCGCCTGTAGCGCTGGCATCCTGTATGGGCATCAGTTCTAGTCCTGGTTGCCCCTTTCTGTCCAGCTCACTGCTATGGCCTAGGAAGGCAGTGGAGGATGGCCAAAGTCCTTGGGCCCCTGCACCCACGTGGGAGACCAGGAGGAATCGCCTGGCTCTTGGCTTCAGATTGGCGCAGCGCCAGCTGTTGTGACCATTTGGGGAGTGAATCAATGGAAGGAAAACCTTTTTGTCTCTTCCTCTCACTGTCTGTAACTAACTTTCAAATAAAATAAATTTAAAAAATGTTTAATGATTGGCCGGCGCCGTGGCTCAATAGGCTAATCCTCCGCCTGCAGCTCCGGCACTCCTGGTTCTAGTCCCAGTCGGGGCACCGGATTCTGTCCCAGTTGCCCCTCTTCCAGGCCAGCTCTCTGCTGTGGCCCGGGAGTGCAGTGGAGGATGGCCCAAGTGCTTGGGCCCTGCACATGCATGGGCGACCAGGAGAAGCACCTGGCTCCTGGCTTCAGATCAGCGTGGTGCGCCAGCCACAGTGGCCATTGAAGGGTGAACCAATGGTAAAGGAAGACCTTTCTTTCTGTCTCTCTCTCTCTCACTGTCCACTCTGCCTGCCTGTCAAAAAAAATAAGAAAAAGGAAAAAAATGTTTAATGATTGAGGGGACAGCTATCTCCATACCCCAAAAACCCCACTAGATCAAAGGCAGAATTCTACTATCCCATTTTTTTAAAAAAGCTTTATTTATTTGAAAGGCAGAGTTATAGAGAGGCAGAGGCAGAGTGAGAAAGAGAGGTCTTCCATCCACTGATTCACTCCCAAATGGCTGCAACAGCTGAAGCTGGGCCATGCCAAAGCCAGGAGCCAGGAGCTTCTTCCAGGTCTCCCACGTGGGTTCAGGGGCCAAAGGACTTAGACCATCCTCCACTGCT